GTCTCTCTCTCTCTCTCTCTCTCTATATATATATATATATATATATATATATATATATATATATATATATATATATATATATATATTATATTACTGTTGTTGTTGCTGCAACACTCTTTCCAGCTAGTTGAAAAACAATCTGAAGTTCTTTCCGCGAAGCCATTTTCTCATGGTATTCCTGAAAAATATGTATTAACATTTGGCAGTATATTCTTTGTTTTGCAGTTGGTTTTTAACTTAAATATGCTTCTCTGCTCTATAATTGTATTGGCACATAAGGAAATTATATTGAAGACTATTTATTGGATAAAATAAAGGCTTTTTATCATAAGGCTGCAGACATTTATTTACGTAGATATAAGGAGTGCTAAAAGGTTTATGGCCCGACTCCTTTCCGCATGTGTGAAGTGCACATCGACGTGATGTAATGGTTAGCGAGCCTGTCAAACTAGAACATTTGCGATTGAGTAGTGAGTGCGATCCTCATTTGGTGCTCCACACTATCGGCCTTGTGTCACATCTAAGCATAGCTTAGAAAATCATTTATGCACCTCAGCATGGTGTAATGATTACCAAGCTTGTCTCGCTAGAACAATTGTGACTGAGTAGTGATTTCAATCCTCACTGGGTGCCCCATACTTTCGGTGTCGTAACACATCTAAGCTACATTTCGAAGATCGCCACTTCTTCAAATCTGACCAAGTATCATTTATTTTGCAATTACTTCTTGGTCATGCCAAAAACTTTTTAGGTTTTTTTTTTTTTTTTTTTTTTTTTGTAAATGTTCTTACTTATCGTCAGTTGTCAGAAAAATATGCAGATTTATTAGTGATGTTCTTTTCTCTCTCTCTATCTCTCTATCTATCTCTCACACACACACACACACTCTTTCTCTCTCTCTCTCTCTCTCACTCACATACACGCACACGCACTGTCTCTCTCCCTCTCTCCTATAGTATTCAGAAATTAGGATTTCATTTTCAAGCAAATGAAAACATCCGACAAAATAAAGTATTAAAGAATTAATGCGAGGAACATTTCATCTGAATTTTTCAAAACAGCTCCTAAGACATTGGTATAGTTTCAGAATGACAAATATTACTATATAACAATATTTACAATAAAATTGTTTTTAATAACTTTCTATGATTCGTGCTGGTGAAAAAAAAATACAATGCTTCTAAATAATAAACTTTAAATTGACAAAATAGTTGTACCAAATTATTAAATCAGTGAATTTTAATTTATGAAGCTTGTTTTTTTTGTTTTTTGTTTTTTTTTTCCAAAAATAAATCGGACATTTACAACATCGACATGATTTTAAGTTCTTAGTTCGGTTATGTTACTTAACTGATTCTGAATGGACCGGTCACTTTATTCCTTGGATTTAATGTATATTTTTGCTTTTATAATTTGCCATGATGTTCTTGAATTTAACTTTTCCTACTTGAATCTTTGTGATGGTTTTGGGGTGGGGGGTGTTGTAAGTTTTATTTTCCTAGAAACTTTTCAGGTATAAAGAGTTAGTACTTGTAAACTAGAACATTAGTAATCCAAACCGGAGCATTGTGATCTTAATGGAATTTCATGAAGAAAAAAGATGAAATAAAAGTGAACTATTCCGAAAGCAACAAAATTGGTGAAGAGGTATGTATATCTACCGAATTCATATCATCCAAAATGTTTTCATACAACACAGAACGAACGCAAATACACCTCAGGTTGAAATATTCATTCACGCCGGTCAATGGAGATGTTTTTCTATTTATTATTAATTTTTAGGTGAAGTATTTACCAGAACAGTTAATGGGCTTGTAGAAATCTCTACGGGCTGGTTGTAAAACATTTTTTAGAAATATTTCTTTTTCTGAACAAAGCTACAATTATTGAGTGAATCTGATATGTAGATTAGGGACTTGGTCTGTCTCGGAAATGATAACGTTACCAGAAACATCTTTGATCTTAATAAGTCAATAAAAGTATCTGTGTCTAAGAGTTATCTGGTTTGATTATTAACTTCCCGGGAGCCGTAACAGAGCTCTTCAGCTGAATTTGTATATGCAAATTCAGCTGAAGAGCTCTGTTAATCGGGTCTTATAGGTGTTTTCAATCCTAATGTGATTAGATGCTGGTTATGGAACCAAGAAATATGGTTTAGCGATATCTTCAATGGTTCTTTCAGAGAGTGGTGGAAACGTTCGATCATGTTATTCAGGGTAGTTAAGTTGTTGTATGAATTCTATTCTTACTAAGTAGATTGTTTAAGTATGCAAAAAGAGATTATTGAAGTTGGATTCTCTATCCGTCGTCAGAATACCGAATCTTCCAATCTAAGCTGTGATGAAAGCTTATGCAATTATTTAAAGAGCATTTGTGAGTAAAAGGGATTATTTCTGGTCAGCGATTGAGTCTGTCAATGCAAGTGAGGAGGTCGTTGTAACATTGATAAAGAGGGAGTTAGCCTGTGATATCTATATGGACATGTCCGGAACAGGAAACGTTGAAAATTCGTATGGCTTTTTGACCCGCTAAAGAGTGAAGTTTGTGTCCTTTCTTGTATTGTACCAGATATAATCTTTGCAGATAAAACTAAAAGAAAGTATTAATTCACTCTGTAGAAGGTTTCGGGGATATTAGGTAAGTTTCAGGTATAAATTCGTACCATAAACATTTCTTTATTTGAAGAATATGTATCTCCTTCATTTGTAGTGAAGTATCATCGTTTAGAAAGATTTTGAGCTCTTCATCATCCTTTTCAATAACTTCGAATTGATTGTTGAAATGTTCCTGGAAAGGGTGCCTGTCAGAATGTTGGAAGTACCTACTAATATGACGAATTTTAGTCGTGAATTGTTTGATAAAATCGAGGTGTCGAAAGGCTTATGGTCAGTGAAATTATAGATACCATTGTAGACAGCCATCATTCACAACCGAATGTGCTATATCTGGTAGCGGTTTCCGACAGTTTGTTAGAGAAGAAATATATGTATTCACTAGCAGCATGGCCCGGCGTTGCCTTACTTCTTGCCTATCTCACAATGCAAAGTCGGTCTTGGCCTTACCGCTAATTTGGAGCATGTGCATGTGATTTAGTGCAATCCTTTGCTTTTTTCTACAATTTCATGCTACTTAATACAGAAACTAGTTAAAAATGTTGGAAACAACCTGAAAACAATAACCGATAGGTTTAGTTTCGTGAGATGTGAGATAGGCAAGAAGTAAGGCATGTAGCAACATCAACACGGCAAAGGGCACTCCTTTAAAGGCAAGGAAGGGCAAAAATATTTTAAGTCAAGTGATAGCGATTGATGTATGAGTCGTACGATTTTTGAATCAAGCACGGGCAACGCCGGGCCATGCTGCTAGTCTTTTATAAATTTATCTTTGCATGTTTTGTTAGGTTATCTGTTTTTTAACATATCTATTGATGATTAATTCGTTTTGATGACATAAAGTAAGACGTAAATAAACTTCATAATTTTTATCTAATTTAAATATATAATGTTTAATGCGTGCTTGAGAAACGATAGTCTATAAAAGCTTCGAATAAACAATTTTGTGTTTGGCCACTGCACTTTCCCAGTAAGTGAACAGCTCTGGTAACCATATTTAAATTACTCTCCAAGTAACACATCCCAGAAAACTGTTTCAGCTGGCAAAATAAACCATATGAGTGAAGAAATACATGCTTACATAACACAACTGGGCGGTAGATGTAGCGGAAAAGAATTGCAGTTCTAAAATCTGTAAAGGTTTCAAAACATGAGTGGGTCGAGCCTTAGCACCTACTCCAAGCAGTCTCGTGTTAACCCAACATTATTTTGAAGTTTCTTTCAACACAAAGTGCATTAACTTCGTCTTTTCTTTGATCCTGCTGTTCCTCTTGCAACCTACAAAAAATTCTGGAACAGAAATACCATCAAGACTCTACAGAAGATTACTTGAAAATATGCCAACAATTACTGGCACAAACACTGTTCCTGCATACATCAAGCTGTAGCGTCAATATCAGAGGCGTCTATGATGGCATTAATACAGGTTTCTGACCTCCCCCAGAAGAAACTCCCTACTTGAAATTAACCACATGTCAATGCAGACAAAACGCTAGAATGATCCTTACTCCGATATGTGTTCCAGAGAAAATGTTTTAACTCTGGGTGGTCTGGATGCATTTGGTTTTGAACAGTTCTCCAAATAAACTCGACAAATAACAAGCTTGCAGCTGCGGAAGCTCCAGATAATACTGGCATTCTACCTGACGTCTTCGAGTTCATTGGTTATCTTCACGAATTTATCTACCTCTGAAAAGAAAATTTTGCCACAGGAGATAAGAGATGTTAATATAGTTACTCTAAAGGAAACAGAAACGACTGTAACAAGAGCCGCGGCATCTTGTTGAGTAACATCGGAAAACTCATCACTAAAGTAGTCGTGAAAAGCCTCCAAATACTTGCTGACTTCAGTTCTTTATTATGAATTGTAAGAACCTTACAACAAGTCACTGTCACTGACCAGTACAACAGAGGATAATTGAGCCATTTAAATAATGCATTGAAACAAAATAGAAAAGGCCATTTACTAGGTTAAAAATACAGGGTGTCGCAGCAAAATCCGACACTTGACAAAAAGAAAACGAAATAGGCAATAAAAACAAAAGTTGTATATGCAGAGACCCGACAGTTTATTTAGCAACAGTTAGGGCAACATACTACATTATTTTTCAATGTAACCGGCGGCGACGACCATCTCAAAGCGGGCGCGAAATAAGACACACGCTTTGGCGACCATGTCCTTGTCCTTGTCCATAGCGGCGAATGCTTCCACGATGGCAGCCTTCAGAGAGTCGACCGTGTTGTGGGCGTGCTTGTTGGTCTTGGCCTCGATCACGCCCCAGAATAAATAGTCAAGGGATTTGCAGAGGTAGGGGAGTCCGGCGGCGATCACGTCCATCCAGGGCTTCATTACGCTCCTCAGCACCTGGTAGATCTCAACGGTGACTATCATGCCCTTTTGAAAGAAGAACGAAGGCATGACGCCCCCCTCCCCTCGCTGGGGATGACGCCAAGGACCATGACCGAGGAGGGAAACTTCGTATGCTTCACGACGGTAACCTCCTCGATGTCTTTGCAGATCCACTTGTCGTTCTGCCTATTGCTCCTCCGGTCCTGGATGAAATTCTTTTCATCAGAGAAGAACCTCAGCATCTCGGCTGACACGTGCTTGAGCTTGTTCAGCAAAGCCGCCGCTTTGACCTTCCTCGACTCCTTGGAGGCATTCGTGATTAGCATACAGTGAGACTTGCAGTAGGAGGAGTAACCAATGTCTTTCTTGATCGTTCGGCAGATCGTCGACTTGTGACAGCCCATGTCAGCAGCGATCTTGGCATCCCTCTGGCTTCCATCATTGTCGACTGTCTCCTTGACGGCGGCGACGAACTCGTGGGCCTTTCGTTTGGCAGTAAACTTGTCCTTGTTCTAACACGCCGTCCACTTCCTCCAAATGTCCATGACCATGGTCCTCTTGAACCCAAACCAGGCCATCACTTCCGCAAGCTTCTTCCCGATGCAAAAAGAAGATACTACCTCTGCTCTGCGCCCATATTCCACCCTGGAAAAGGGTAGAGTAAAAAACGTTAGTTAGTTGACAAACTGTCGGGTCTCTGCATATACAACTTTTGTTTTTATTGCCTATTCCGTTTTCTTTTTGTCAAGTGTCGGATTTTGTTGCAACACACTGTATAAGCCAGGTTTCTACCGTTTTCTATTCGCTCATTCGATAATATTTTTTTATTGGAATTTCCCGGGTTAGATTTCATTGCCGAAGTGACATTATTTAATAATTTGTGATATTCTAAATGCACTGCATAACACGTACAACATGTTATAAGTTCAAGCTCTACCTCCGTAATCAGAAAAACAGTATACTTATAGATTCCGAACGTAAGTGGGTCTTACTTGTTGCAAAATTCTGATATAAGCAATACACGTTTTTCTGTGTGTTTTAAATTAGCTGTTGCTTGAATATGGCTATCTTTGTCATTTTATTACATCTCAAATTTCTCGCTCAATCAGTTAGCCTTGCCTTTCCAGTCACTTCCTACTACTGTTTGAGTTCAACTGTAATTAAACTCTGCCCATTTTCCTTTATTCGGTTTTTGCAGCTACGTTCCACACAGCAATAATTTTGCTTTCTCACCAGTTTAGTCTACTTATTATCCCCCTTATACTATTTATTACACATGGCATTTCAGCTAAACAAATATTTATTATTATTGTTTAGCATGAGTTTGATAGAGATAAAATACTGGTCATAAATTCGTCCTTTTCCGAGATGGACCGAGTCTTGTACCCAAAATAGGCACATATTACTTTAGAACCTAAGCAGTTTGGTTGAGCAGTATTTGTGTTACTATATTAAAAGAAAAAAAAACTGGAGGTAAAAGATATTATAGAATCGTCCATATTTCATACTCACCTCCGAGATAAAATACACTCTTCCGTCAGAATCAGTTTTAACCAAACAACACTTCGGATTGCAAATCTCGACTTTCTATTGGTCGAGACATGTAACAATTGTCGAAAAACTGTTTTCGCGCCTAGTTCGCTGGAGCCTATTTTGGTTTCCAGAAACAAATAAAAAGGACCATCTCGACCCAATTCACCAGTCAGTCAATAAGAGGGCCGATCTTCCGGGACCCTTCGGTTGGACGGACGGCCCTGTCCGCATTCTTGGAGTGTGGTTTAAAACCCGACCTCCAGCTGGAGAAAAATTGGTCTGAAGTACGAGCAAAGGTCAACGCTGCCGGCCAGACTTGGCGTCGACGGGGGTTGTCCGTGAAGGGTAGGGCGGAGGTGTGTGCTACATACATTTTCCCGATTGTCCTTTATCGATTGTCCGTACTTCCTCTCTGTGACGACCATAGGAAGCCGCTCAAGCGCGCGCTATCCTTCATTTTATGGAGGGGACGCGGGAATCGGGTCGACAGACGAGTCTGTACACAGCGTCCGTGCCATAGGGGGTTGGGAATGCCACACTTACAGAGCCACATATGTGCCTCGAGGTTGGCTTTCCTACGCCGCGCGTTGACAGGAGGAGATTCGATTATGGCGGGGATTGTCAGGGACGCTTTCCCTTTCCTTACTATCAATTCCCCCATCTAGCGGGCTGGGTGCCATCGTAAGCCCCGGGATCAATCGGCTTTCCTTTTCGAGTGTCGGTCGGCCTTGTTGGCTGTTCCTCGGTCCAGTGACCTTTCACGGGCTAGGAAGGTCTTCTATCGTCTTTTAGTGGAGGAGGACGTGAAGGATCCCTTACGTGGTACGCTCTGCTTGTCGGAGAATGAGTTTCGCTCTTACTGGTCTTGGGCGCCAGCGGCGGATTACCTCAGTAACCCTGAGTCTTCGCTTACCTGGCGATTGGCTCGGAATCTGCTGCCTCTCAATGACAAGGCTTTCATATGGGGCTTGGCGGATTTGCCAGACTGTGAACGGTGTGGCCTTGGTTTAGAGGAAACGGCTTCGCACGCCTTCCACCATTGCCCCCGGGTCCGCCCCTTATGGGACCATGCCAGCGAGCTGACGGCTCGTCTCGCTCCCGAAAAGCTTGTGCCCATTGATCGCTCATACGCGTGTAACAATGTGTCGCCCCCGTATTCCGGGGTGAAACGAATGGTGTTTCTGACGCTGCTAGCCACGGCCCGAATGGTGATTTGGACGACGCGACAGGAGGAAGTCTTGCGAGGCATCCGTCTTTCTCATCAGGATCTTATCCGATTCTTTGAGCATCAGCTCAAAATGAGGATTAGAACTGATAGAAAACGGCTGCATTCGACAGTCTTCAGCGAAAGGTGGGTGACTGAGGCGTGCTTGGTTCGTTTGAACGGGGCTAGCCTTGATTTTCTCTTCTAGGTCAACCTATGTCACATCGGGGTGGTTTCCTGTGGATTCCTCAAATTCAAATTTCCCATGTCCGTTTATATTTTCTCCTTTTCCACTCCCTTAGCGAGAGAGCTTCTTGATTTTGTCCCACGGGCAGAATACAGCGGCCTCTCCGTTTTGAGGGTTGGCCGGCCCTACTAACGTGTTTAATTTGAATTATGTTAATATTTTAGTTTATTATTGGGTTCATCTCCCTTCCCTCTCATTTTTCATCATAGAATTTTAAGTATTTATTATTATCATCAAATTTTTATGGCATGGGGCGCGTTTTGTAGATCCCCCTTGTGAGGATGCGGTATTATGGTGTATGGAGGATTGAATGTTGACGGGCGAGTTCTTTTGGTTAATGTGTAAATTGTAATGTATGAAATGGTCGTGAATCCGATTAGCTAGGTATAAGATAGTTAGTGATGACCAGCTTCTACCCCTCCCCTTTTTTTTTGGCCTTTGCCGCAATTGTGTATTTTGCACAATAAATAAAGTCAGTCAATAAACTTCAGAGAGATACCACACAAATCCACGCGTGTCACTACTTTGATTCAAGATACTTTTCACGCGTCAACTGCTGACTCAAACATCAACATAATCTCTCACATTTCACTTACAACTTTCTAAGAAAAGTGTTCTTACACACTACCAATATAGAAATTGTATTTTAACAAAAGACAAACACAGAACAATCCAAGGTAAACAACTCTGGAGAATTTAGACAATTAAACCCTACTTTATTCACGCATGCAAACTACACAAATTTCTGTATAAATAATATTTTCCAATTTATTCTGTTTGACCAGTCCTTAAGCACTTGAACAATTTTGAACTGTAAATCAATAAGAAACCCAATTTACCAATGGTCAATTTCTTGCATTATCAAACTACAAGTTTTCAAATTGTATATTAATTGTACATAAATGCATGTTGTTTTATTGAAATCTCATAATCGGTGTTTCTTACTCAATTGCCTTGTGATTGATTCGTTTTTGAATGTCTATATTCTATATTGTTGCGGGTTAATATGGTGAACATGCCCGTAAACTAACCATCTTAATATAAAAACCTTCTGATACCAAATTCAAACTCATAGCAATCCCAACAAAAATTGGTGACCCCGACGTTTATAACAACAAAAAGATTGGCGACCACAACATTTATACCAACAAAATTGGTGATACCGACGTCCATAACAACAACAAAAAAAATTGGTGATACCGACGTTTATAACAACAAAATTGATAACGCCGACGTTCGCATTGTAACAAATTGATTACCACATTGTTCCAAACACCTCAGTCGACATGACAGAACCGATACCACCAACTGAAGCTGCACTGAGATTAGAACTCCCTACCTACAAAGCAAATGCACAGACTTGGTTCATCCAGCTCGATGCGATTTTTTAAGCCAGACATATAACGTCCCAACAATCGAAATTCGCATTCGTGGTAGAGAAGCTTCCCGCGGAAGTAGCTGCTGAGGTAGCGGATATTCTTACCAGTCTCCCGCCCGAAAAGCCTTATGAGGTGCTCAGGCAGACTATTTTGCAGCGAACGGGATGTTTTGAGGAGCGAAAGATCAAAGATCTTCTTACTAATATCACGTTCGGAAACAGCAAACCGTCCCAACTTCTGCGAAAAATGATCACGCTGCTCGGCGACAACACTATATCCAAGACAGTGTTGAAACAAATGTGGCTGGAGAAATTGCAGCCTGATATAATACAGATATTAGCCGTTTTAACTGAGGAAGATCGATGTTCGCAAGCTAGCATCGATCGCTGATAAAATAGTAGACACAAAACCAACTCGCCAAATTTCCTCTGTCGTGCTATCAGATGACCCGATTCCTGATGTTAACCAGCAAACTCCAATTTTTGACCACAGAGCTAAGGAAGCTTTCCTTATGTCTCGACAATATCGAAAGTATACCCAGAAGGAGTCGCAGTAATTTAACTACCCGGCACAACGCTAACCGACGATGATCAGTGTCAAGACAACCTCGTCACCGCCAGAAAGGCTATTCCTGGTAGTATGAAGTGTTTGTCGTCCGCGCTAAGAAATGTCAGTCACCATGTGCTTATCAAAGCGCGGGGAAACGGCCAGCCTGGCAACCATTGAAGGCGTTGTCTGCCAGGGCGGATAATGGAAATCGCCTGTTCTACGTATTCGACAGTAACAGCAAGTTAAAATTTCTAGTCGACACAGGAGCTCAGATCAGCGTTATACCGCTGAGCTATTGTAACAAGTTATCAACGATACCCGAATAAACTCACTTAAAATTACAGGCTGCGAACGGCACATCTGTAAACACGTATGGCGAGCGTGTTATGTCTCTAAGCATCGGCCTACGGAGAGAATTCACATGGACCTTCACGATAACCGATATCGAGATACCCATTTTAGAGGAAGATTTCCTTGCACACTTCGATTTGTCTGTTGAATTATCGTCTTACAGATATGCGCACGGATATACGACGACGCGGAGTATTATCAACACTTTCTACAGTTGGGCTAACTGCGCTTATACCTAGTGCAAACGGTTGCGAAGACTTGCTTAAGCAGTACAAGTCTCTCTTATCACCTTTCACGCATGCGGAACCCGTGAAACAATACAACACATGCAATCAAAACAACCGGATCCCCAATCCACGCGTCACCCCGTTGTTTACACCCAACTAAGCTCCGGGTGGCTAAGGATGAGTTTGAGAATATGTCAAGCAGGGCATAATAAGACCATCTTCTAGTCCTTATGCCACACCGCTACATATGGTCCCTAAGAACGATGCTAATAGTTGGCGACCGTGTGGAGACTTCTAAACGCTCAGACCGTGCCAGACAAGTATCCAATCCCCCATATCAAGGACTTTGCTTTATCTCTGGAAGGCGCTACTGTCTTCATGAAGCTAGACCTGAGAAAAGCCTTTTATCAGATACTTATCGAACCGTCTGATACCCATAAGACAGCGATAACGACACCATTCGGTTTATACGAATTTACCCGAATGCCTTTCGGACTCCGTAATGCAGCACAATCATTCCAGCGTTTCATAGATGAGGTCCATCGTGGTCTGCCGTATGCTTATGCGTACATTGATGACGTACTAATAGCAAGCAAAACGCCCGAAGAACATCGCGACCATCTTCAATCAATGTTTAAAAGATTAGAACATTGAATAGAATTATATGAAAAAAGGCATAATGTTCATTTGTTCAAATAAAAGAAAATTTTAAAAAGTTAAATTAAAAAAATAAAATTACTTTAAAAAAATGAATATTAAAACAAAGTATTTAAAATAACATAATCGAAAAATAATGAAAAGAATTATTTAAAAAAAAGTTTAATACTGTTTTTTGTTTGTTTGCGCCATTCAAAAAACTCGCGAAAAGAAATTTGACTTTCTCCGTTCTCTTTTTTTCCCCCAATAAATCCTTTTTAAGGCAGAGGCAGTTGGCGTGTTCATGAGGACTAAAGGACCTTCGACTTGGATACTGGTTATGTAATCTATTCCATACATTCACATAACGGTAAATACGTTTTCATCAAACTGAGCTTCATAATCTCTGTAAAGCCGCATGATATTCACAAGACTGCTGTTCGATTTGGTTTGTCTCATTTTTGTACGCTGTCTTTTCAGAATGAGGAACGCGATACAATCTTTCCGGAGATTAAGTGACAATGACTTGCAAAATTTACATTTTACTTGTGCTTATGTGAAAAAATATTATGAGCAATACATCTGAATCTCGACAAAAAAACCCTCTTTACAAAAGTACGTCAATGAAACCTGATCTACAAACTGATTTATTACAAAGAATACATATTCTGTTCATTACTATAATCATTTTTCTTGAATAATTCGACTTGAAATATACGAAACTCTTGAAGCTGGCGAAAGATTGTGTTCCTAACGGCAACCTGGCAATTGTGCGTGACACCAGCATCAGTCAACTGCGTCATTTCATTCCTGAATTTTTGCGGTTTACCTTTTTCTTCGCACGTCATAACTTGTCACATATTAGTGCTAACACTTCCATCAACCTAGTCACGGACATATTTGTTTGGTCACGAAAGATATTCGGCTTTTGACAAAGATCTGTATTCAATGTCAAAAAGCTAAAGTTGTAAGACACACTCACATACCTCGTGGTTCTTTTCCATTACCTAATAAGCGTTCACCCAGGTGCCCGTGGACATTACAGTAGCCTACATCCTTGTGAAGGATACAATTATTTGCTAAAATGTATTGATTGCTATGGTCAACACCAAATTTATTGTTTAAGTTTTGTTTGCAGATTTAGGATAATTTTTATATGCTGAATCCAAAAATCACATTGTTTTTGCTCAATCAGGTCAACTTTCTGAACTAAGCTACATATTAGCTTTTCGGCGTTTTACTTACATGTACGGGTATTTTAACGTCATATGATGCAAAATTCTTTTATATTTCTTGCAATAAGCGAATTCTGAAGATTTTGAATGTGCTAACTTATGACTATTTTTTTTTTATATTAAAGGTAAATGAAATGGCTTCGAGTAAAACATCTTGCAAAAATAAGCTTGACGTATTCTGCTACATCTGCGGTGAATACACCATTGACACCTAACAGGAATCAAGTCACAAGTTTCATAAAGCATGCTTACCATTCATATTTTGGTATTAAGCTTGGTGACATGGTAAGCAAGTCATGAACTGAGTATCTGCGTCAGTGAACCAAAGACAAGAAGAGTTGTCTGAAGTTTGGAATTCCCATGGTTTGGAGGCAGCCGACAAACCATGTCACCGACTGCTACTTCTGCACTATTGATGTGACTGGGATCAACAGAAAGAACCGAAGCAGCCTGATCTTGAATCAGCACGTCGTCCTGTAGATCACTGTGGTGAAATTCCATTACCTGTCTTTGGAGAACTTCCTAACATCAGTGATGAAGATTCCTCCAGTGTTCCAGAAGAGGAAGAAGAAGAAGAAGAAATGGTTCTTAACGATGATGCTCCACATCCTTTTTCCCAAAAGGAGTTAAATGATCTAGTTCACGACCTCAGCTTTTCAGAGTGCTCTGCCGAGCTATCGTCATCTAGATTGAAGGAAAACGAACCTCCTCTCTGACGGTGCTCGCATCACCTTTTACCGCAACAGACATCAAAAGTTCCTCCGTTTTTTTTTAAGAGAAAGACTTGGTGTATTGTACAGATATTGCTCAGCTTCTGCACAAGCTTGGAGTGCCACAGAATGAACCCAAAGATTGGAGACTTGTTCATTGACAGCAGCAAACGATCGCTGAAATGTGTTCTGCTTCACAACGGCAACCAATTTGCCTCTGTACCCCTTGCTCACTCGACTACCCTGAAGGAGAAGTGTGTGCTGGAGAAAATGTGTCATGATCAGCATGACTGGCTTATTTGTGTTGACCTGAAGATGGTGAATTTTTTGTTGGGACAACAGTCCGACTTCACCAAGTACCCATGCTTTCTGTGTATGTGTGATAATTCTCAGCATTACACAAAAAAGGACTGGCCTGTGCGGGAGGAATTGTTGCCTTGCAGAGCAAGGAACTTCATCAACAATCCTCTGGTAGACAGAGACAATAATAAAAATAAAATAGTGGACACAAAACCAACTCGCCAAATTTCCTCTGTCGTGCTATCAGATGACCCGATTCCTGATGTTAACCAGCAAACTCCAATTTTTGACCACAGAGCTAAGGAAGCTTTCCTTATGTCTCGACAATATCGAAAGTATACCCAGAAGGAGTCGCAGTAATTTAACTACCCGGCAATAACTGACAGAATAAATTAGATTCGAATTGTCAACCTCTGTCTGTAGTAACTCAATGAACGAAGTGGAACTGGAAGCTTGGAAGGCTTTTCTGGTCGTGAAGAACTTTCTTGACAACAACAAGGCCAGGAACTATGCAGAACTTGTCACCAATATGCTGACTGCTTTTAGAAACCTTGGATGCAACATGAACATCAAAATGCATTACTTATTCTCACATATGAATCGGTTTCCTGAGAATCTGGGCTCAATCAGTGATGAGCAGAGGAGAGATTCCATCAGGACATAAGAGAAGTGGAGACCGGGTATCAGAGATGTGGCGATGCAGTTATGACGGCTGATTACTGTTGGACTCTGAAGAGAGACATTCCTGCTGCTGAGCATTCGAGGGGTTCGAAGAAACAGAAGTTCATGCCCTGAATTTTGCACAATGACGATGTAACGTTCAGTTTACATGTACTTACATTTATCAATGTCTATTATTCAATTTACAGAAATCGTAACATTTAATTAATACATTCTGTTAGAAAACCTTTTTTTGGATGAGTAATATTAACGAAAATCAACTGATAATATCACAAAAATGTAACCAATGTAGTCAGAAGATCAGAGTTTTAAAAATCAAATTAGCATAAGAACCTGACTTGATTGATAAAATGAATGTCATTTTTGGATTCAGCGGTGCAAAATGGTGCTAATTCAGTTAAAAAAAACCCAGACAACTTGCAAAACGGTTTTTTTGTAACCCAGTGTTGTTTTCCTCCATGGTATGAAGTATTCTCCATGGCTAACATTTCTGCAAAAACTATTATTTTTGGGTGGGTATGTTGTTTTGACATCCCAGCTGTCGTTACTACAGACAGAGGTTGACAATTCGAATTTAATTTATTCTGTCAATTAATGAAACTTTTGGGTAGCAATAGAATCCGTAATCTATAATACCGCATGTTTCACCGCAGTGTGAAGCCCGTCTTGAAAGCAAAGTTGAACTAATTGCTGTAGCATCTTTAGTTCTTCTGGGACATTATGCAATAGTAAAGGATGACATTCAATGTTCATCTGTTGAGATGTTGTATGGCATCACGCTTAGACTTCCTAACTTCCAGACTCCATAGAATGTCATCGATCCCACTTTCTTCATCTATCATCTGATAGACAAGGTAACGAACTTGACATACGATCCACATGTGCAGAGTCCCAAATCCACGTACATACCAACACTTTTAGTCTTTAATAAATGTATTTTGTACGTGACTCAAAAGTTAACTTAAGTACTTTGTTGTACATGTTAATATTATAGGCTAGAACAACTCTTTGGATACACTGAAACCTTAGATGCTATATGGGGCTTGGTGTGGATATTCCAGTAATTTTTTTCATTCTGTGTTGTGTCAGATGTGCCAAAACAGATTGTAAAACAATCTGGTCATCATATTAGATGAATCAGACGTTTATTGCATAGTTTTTTTTTCATTTCATCTACATGCATCAGGACTAGTTCTCTGATATTATTGTTGCTTGACTTGTGCTTACCAAGAGCTTCGTCCTTCACTACTTATGAATGGA